ATGATAATTTTGAGTTCTCAAGCAAGAGTTTGACCACATTTGCGAACTGTTAATATTTCCTTTTGCAGTTTTTCGTTCAAAGTAACTGATAACACCGACTGTTGATTACGATACGGAACAAAGAGCAGATTTTCTGTACTGGCTCGGCTCAAACATTCAGTAGTATGTAGTCTTAGCTTTTCGTTGTGATAGTGTTAAGAACCTTTCGACGAGAACGCTTTTCCTCCCTTGGTTTAGTATCGTGCTGGAATCGTCCTTTGATGTCGTTTTTTTGACCGCTTCCGACAAGAGTTCTGGGAACCGTTTTGAGCTCATGCTACTTGTGTGATACGCATAAACTTGGATTCCAACCCGCCATTTGAACAGGATAAGGATGCGAAGAGAGTGGGATCCGTTTGTCGTAGAAGTCGAGCACCGTTGAGGCTTCGAAGGCACAGCGATAACTTGCCTGATGCCTAAATCTGCCTTGAATAACGCACCATATTCCGAATCGAATGAACATGAACAGAGTGGTTAACGAGGTGGAAACCACAAGATCATGTAACAATCTCTTAATTCAACAAACAAGCCGCCAGTAGGATCCAGACCTTTCAATAAGGAAACTTGCAATGATGCTGTATAAAGAAGTCGTTTCAGTCTGATCCCCAGTTTGACGAAGGACCGAGTTACATCATCATTTTACAACCTTCAAACCAATGACTTTAGACATCGCGATCACCTACATAGTAGTGAGGAAACTAGGCGCCGTATTGGCCGTTAAAATGTCGCCGCCGCGCCCTAGAGACAGTAGTACCTCCGTCGCTTGCCAAGAATGAACGACTATGCTCGTATGTCGGCAATTGAGGAGAAGGAAGTAAATATACGATCGTGGAAATGCTTATTGGCGCCTGCTATTGCGTTAATCTGTGTTATGCTATACACCCCAGTGCCGACCACTAAAGGACTTCAATCAAGGCACAAACGCGACCGGACAAAGATGGTCATAGTCGATTGTGATGAGTGAACTATTAGATTAGGTAATAGATGGAATAGAAACATTGCCGCTGTGGACAATAGATGTCCGGTAGACAGAGTATTGGGGACTTCCGCACC